GACTCTTGGTTTGGGCTCAGGTCATGATCTCATGGTTTGTGAGTTCAAGCACCACCGTTTGTGAGTTTAAGCCCCACATCGTTCTCTGCGCTGACAGTGTGGAGTCTGCTGGGGATTCTCTTTCTCTCCTCTCTGCGCCGCTCCCCACCCCACTCTCTCTCAAAATAAATAAATGAGCTTAAAGGAAAAAAAGGTTGTACTTAAATGGATAAAGAATAATAGTGGCTTCTAGTGAGTAGACAGGAATGCTCTTAAAACATCCTACAATGCACACAGCAACAAAGAATTTTCCAGAGTGGCAGTGGTATGGAGAGATAAGAATGTTCCATAGAAAAATGATTTGTTGACCTGGTGAATCATTGCAGGTATAAAAGGCAAAGAAGGTGGGTAAAAATTGAATGTCATTCTAAGCCTGAGTAACCAATAAAAGTGGTGGTAGAAAATGAATCTAGACAGGAAAAAGCATGTTAGTTTGAAGTAAAGTCATGGCCTCAAAACATATTGAGTATATATTGTCATAGATTCTACAAATGCATTGAGCAGAAGTGATTTTAATATACACAATAAAAACTTTGAATTAACTATAGCCATATCTTCATCCCCAGTTGAGGTTTAAAGCATGTTCTTCCCTTGCCTGGATTTTTACAGCAGCGGATCACCATGTTTCCTTTCTTGCTCCCTGCAGTTTATTCTGACAGAGGAGCTGAAGTGTCCATGACCAGACTTTGACCGTGAACACAAGAAACTATCACCAATTTGGAGTCCTTTATAAGAGTGTCTAGCTTGGGGAAGAGAGGGTAATGCTTATAAGAATTGTATCTTTTTAAAGTAAGAATGATTCGAAATCACTTTTTTTTTACAATTTTTTTCCTAAATTTTGTGAGATTCTTCATGGATACATGCATACACACACACATAAAGACCATACGTATGAATCTTTTTCTTTTCATTCCATTTACTTGCACTTCAGTAGACCTACTTTGCAGCCTTAGCTGTTGCCTGTCATGATGACTCTTTGGCATTATATTTTCTTGGCTTCTGAAGGAAGGATGAAATTATATTAAGTATATTTAGTTTTGCATATTCAATATTAGAGAATCCTGGAGATGAAGGAGGTATATTTCATCTAGTCTAATGAGTCACTCAGTGTTTGATCCCTCCTCCCTTGTCAGTTTCTAGGGCTGCTATAACAAATTATCACAGACCTGGTGGCTTAAAACAGCAGAAAGTTACTCTCTCATAGTTCTGGAGGCCAGATTTCTAAAAGGTGTCAGCAAGGTTACAGTCCCTCCAAAGGCTCTAGGGGAGAATCTTTCCTTGCCTTTTCCAGCCTCTAGTGGCTCCACATATTCCTTGGCTTGTGGCTATGTAACTAATTTCTGCCTCTATCTTCACATGACCTTCTTCGCTGTGTCTTTTCCTCTGTTTGTCCCTTGTACCGACATTTATTGGCTATAAGGCCCACCCAGATAATTGAGGATGATGTCATCTTAAAATCTTTAACTTAATTGCAGCCCTTTTTCCAAATCAAATCACATTTAGAGGATTTGGACATGGACATACCTTTTGGGGGCCACCACACAGCCTGTTAAGCCCTCTGAATATATGTCCATTATTTGTTGCCAGCTTCCAAGTGGCTGCCTCTACCCACGATCATTGGATTTTGACTAACTCTGGAGTGAAGTCAGTTTTCCTGTAACTTTTACCATTGACTTCAGTTCTCCCTGTCTGAAACCATGAGAAGAAAAACATCTCTTTTTCTCTCTGAAAGTCCTTCATTTGTTTTCTCTGAGACTTCTGTGCTCCAGACTAAACACCTCTGGTTCCTTTAACCGTTTCTCTCAGAACCACATCTCGCATTCTCCTAATTATCTTGGTTGTGCTCCTTCTCGAAAGCACTCAGAGGTGAATAGAAAGTATACTGAGTTTATCGCTGAAGACCTAACACTCAGGTCATGCCTCTTCCACTAAGTAGATGATCAAGGCAAATCCGTTTATTTTAAATAACAAAAACACTGGACCACCCTACTTCACTGCATGCTTTTTATAGTCAAATAAGATTATTACATAACGTATAAGAAAGTTTCCAATTATTTATCCATATGCATATATATTAAAAACAAAAAATCATTGGGGCATCTGGGTGGCTCAGTCAGTTAAGTGTCCACTTCAGCTCAGGTCACCATCTCATGGCCCGGGAGTTCGAGCCGCACGTCGGGCTCTGTGCTGACAGCTCAGAGCCTGGAGCCTGCTTCAGATTCTATGCCTCCCTCTCTCTCTGCCCCTCCCTTGCTTGCACTCTCTCTCTCAAAAATAAATAAACATTAACAAAAAAAAAATTTTTTTTAAGTGTATTAAAAAAACATTAACTCCCAGGACTGAACACAGATCCCTCAGTATAGTCTGAGCCAGTAGTTCAGACCACAAAGTATTTGCCAGTAGCACGTATCCTGATAATCTGCTCTGTTTCTGTTAATATAACCTGAAATCACAATAACTTTTTGGTAGTCATGCCATGGTTCTTTGTCCATACTGAAATCACTATGTACTCAAGAGCCTCAGATCATCTTCACATACAATCTATTTATGCTTTTTAATTCATTGATATGTACCATGTAGAGTCAAACAATTTGGGAAATGTAGTTTAATTTCATTTGAAATGTATTTGATTATCAATCCTTTTAGTTGCCTTTTCTGTCTTATAATATGAAATACAAGGCTCTTCCTCCAGTTATTTAATGTAATACTCCTCTTTAATGAATCCTATTTTTGGCACGTTTTTCTAGTTGTACTTGAATGACCGCATTCTTATCCAGACATCCTACAGTTGCTAATGTGATTCTCTGTCTATACTGAATTCAGATGCCTTTGGTTTGTATCTTACGTCCTGACGGTAATAGGTTTTACCCTTTAAAATGGATTTCATTTTCCTAGATTGCTTAATAGATCTATAAATCTATGTACTTTTGCAAAGTGAGATGAATGTGTAATAGTTATAAGCTGCTATACTGTTCAACTTGAAGTGACCTCTTAAGAATTTGAAAGCAATATAAGATGTGAACTCTGTCCTCATGTTTGATTTGTCTTAAAGTTGCACTGTTTGAACACCTTTGGCTTCAGTCCCTCTTCAGATTTGTTTTAATGTTATGTGCACACCTTGTGACTTTTTCTATAAAGAAGTCCCAGTGAAGTAATAAAGTCGATGTTGTGAGATCCATTTTTTAGGAATTTAGAGACTTGGTTTTCAATGATACTTATTTCAGTGTACTCTTCTAACATTTGAAATGGTTTCTGTATTTATAAATTGAAAGTAGTGTGGCGCCTGGGTGGCTCAGTCAGTTGAGCAGCGGTCTTTGGCTCAGATCATGATCTCACAGTTTGTGAGTTCGAGTCCTGCATCAGGCTCTGTACTGATAACTCAGAGCCTGGAGCCTGCTTTGGATTCTGTGTCTCCATCTCTCTCTCTCCCTCTCCCCCATTCACACTCTGTCTCTCTCTCTCTCTCAAAAATAAATAAACATAAAAAAATTAAAAAAATTTTTTTAAATAAATTGAAAGTAGAGGTACATGTAGGCTTGGAGAGCTGTGCAGGTATCTTTATAGAATAACAACTACATAGTACAGTGCTTTGGAACTCTAGGGCACCCGTGTTGTTATATCTTTGCAGTTAGATAGTTCCTTTGCAAGCTACCTCATACAAATTTGGATGATTCCCAGATTCACTGTGAAAGCCTGGTGCCGTACTTTGTTTATCCTGAATTTGCTGTCATTTTTATATATCTCAATTTAGGGCCACACCGCATGCCTAGTTTATTTTTTACTGCTTCAATAAATACAAAACTGTCTCTTTAATGGATGTGTGGAGCATTTGGTGTTCCCTTGCTAGAGAATAAAGACATTTCATGACCTTACTCATTCCCCAGTGCCTGTAATATTATATAGCACAACAAATTCACCTTTTGGAAACTGTATGTAATCAACAACTCTTAAGAATTTAATATAAAGGCTTTTAAATTCTGTTTATTTATTTTTCTTAGAAAACAATATCCACCAAACTTTATGGAATGTACCTTTCCTCGGACAATTGAAATTAAGAATATCCACTAATTGTCACCTCCCATTCATTTCAATAGGATTATTTTATTTTTGAAAATAACATATTGCAAAACTAAGGAAGGTGAAGTTTTCTTCTTAACCCTGTCTAAGTTGCGATTGATCAGGGTTTGTGTGTTTATTTCAGAGGATAAAAATGTATGCTTAGTTTTGAGAATCGGGAGAATACGAGTAGAATATAACCTTCTCTTCTTCATTTGCAGGGATAGGAAAAAGGAAATAGTGAGGGAAACTTATTCTCTAGAATAACTCATCATCTTGATAAAGATCCACAGATCTCATGCCTTTGTGATTTCAGCAAGTCAGGTTAAAGTCTTAGGAGAGCTCTGTGGTGTGAGTATATTGCCTTGGAAAAGTAACAACCAGATAGCCACCCATGTGGGTGTGAATGACTTTTTGATGAATTTTCACTTCCATTAGTACTGTTGATTTGACTGGCCACCTTGAAAGAAGCAGAAATCTTAACATATTGCTTTCAAGTCTAACTCTTCCCCCCTTAATCTTCTTTTCCCATATTGTAGAAGTTGAGATGTCAGATCCAAGGTATTAGAGGAAAAAACTTCTAGGATCTTAATATTGGCATGTTAAATTTATGATATGCAAATATGAAACATAGTGGCCTCAGCTCCTTGGGGTTAGTGGGTCACTTTTTAATGTATTAGTCCCTTGTTGCATGGTCTACTCAGTTTTTTTTTTAAAACAAAGCAACCATTGATCTGATTTGACTAATTATGAAGATATTAAGGTAATAGATTGCAACACCTCTAAGTGATTTAGTCCAAATTTTCAGATATTTATACTATATTCCAGGAACTTCTACCTTTGTCAATAACTTGGAGGTCGTTTTACTCAAACTTTGGAAAACTGATCCTGTTAATTTTTTTTAGGTTTCCATTATATCCAAAAGGAGGGGAGAAGTTACAATTTGATTATGGTGTCTATCTTCTGAACAAAAATATAGCACAGGTAAGTAACTTCTCTCCTTTTCTACCTCCCATATACAACCTACTTCCTTGGATTGCTAACCTTCCTTCTTTATAAATAACTGCTAGAGTTCACTGTTGTATTTAAGCAGTTACAGTGATAATGCAAACTTCTTTTTTGGCCACAGTTTTATTTTGTGCTTTTATAAATACTACTGGGAAGCAATGGGTGCAAATTGAAATCCTCCTACTAAACTCAGAATCCCTTTCCTGAGTTGGTACTTGCTGGTACACTGTACTTGAATGTGTGGGTTTATATCTTTTTGCCTCTATAGCTTTGCACATAACTTTCTTCTCTTAGACCACTTTTAGGGACTCATTTTGCATTGGGAGTTGTTTATGGAGTAAGAGTTTTAGTGCCTTTGGCAAGTCCTCAATGGTCTCCTCACCTTACTATGCAGGAACCAAAAAAAAAAAAAAGACCAACCATGTGGTCCTTCGAACCCATCTGGAGTTTTTGTGGCTCTCCTACCATCAGGCCAGTTAGTACCTCATTTAAATAATGTCTTTCCATATGCTGTAGAAAGACTAACAGATGCTTTGGTTTGCATTTTCCTAAAAGAAATACGCAGATTTTCTTTCATACTTGACTAAACTTCAAGAGGTAGACATTCCATAAATTTTCCAGAAAGGAAGATCAGCTTCATTGCTTTGTTTTTATTTGGACATCCTTCCAATTGGAATATCACAGGGATCAGTATGCACAGTTTGGCTGTCATTTAAAGACATTGTCAGCTGTATCCTCAGACCTTGTCTTTTAAGAGAAGCAACAAGGTTTGTGATGCATTTGTTTTAAAAGGTTGCCTTTTATCCATATGAATCTAAAGACTCACTGAACAGTTCCCTTATTCATTCCTGATAGATTTAGAATCATTCCTCCATCTGGTGTCATCTTTGCCTTTTTTCTCCTCATCCAGTATCAGTTTAATGTTGTTTTTTAAAAAAAAAAAAAAATGATTTTTATTTAGATTCCTACCCTTTTCTGATATTGGATCAAATTTCTAGTTTGCAGTCTTGAGTTAATCATTTGCTTCAGAAGCTCATACTGTTGCCCTTTTCAGCCATACTGCTTTATTATTACCGTTGTTTCAGCCCATGTTCTTTACTCCGGGCAGGCAGCCTTGCTTACAGTCTCTGGCCTGTGACCATCTTTCCATGTGCTACTCTTTCCACACCTGAGGTGTCCCTGCCCTCCATTTTTGGCAGTAATGTATTGTACTCTAAGAAATGGGACTTTAGGGGCACCTGAATGGCTCATTTGGTGAAGGATGTGACTCTTGATCTCGGGGTCATGAGTTCAAGCCCCACACTGGGCATGAAGCCTTACGCTACTAATTGTAGTCATTATACCATGGAAAAGGCAGTGCTCAGACAGAACTGGTCAGAAGTGGCCTAAGTATATTAAGGGAGAAGAGGTCTAAGTAAGTTAGAGAGTACCTCCAAGTTAAGTCAGCCAAGGTGGAAAGGGGCACATGGATACTAGAGTCTGGGGGTCAGGATGCCAGGAAGGGTGGTAGAGCTTAAGTTCTGATCTGAATTCAGAGGTTTCTCTCTCTCTTTGCCCTATTTTCTGCTTCTTGCTGTAAGTACCTATACCCTAAGGTCCAACGTCTGTTGGGAATTCCAGGTGAAACATACTCCTGATTAAGGCTAGAGCCAAAATGCCTGGATTTCCTCATAAATCTCAGCTGCAGACACACACACATGTGCACATATACATATACATGCAAGAATACACCCATTTAGTTATTCTTCTCTGGGCCCAATAAGAATGCCAGCGAATGGTATAAAGAGGTGCTAAGAATAGCCCAGCTTGCTTTGAAAACAAGACAAAGATGGAGGCTGACTGTGTACAGGGGAAAATTTGGGAAAGTTGGACCTCTACCTCAGTCTCTTACCCCTAGTACCTGTTCGGTCCTCACTTTGGAGCACTTCCAAAGAAGCCTCTGATTTTTATTCTAAAGTGAACTGAGGCCACAAGCATGCTGAACTGGTTTTATTCATCTGTTTTAAAAATGGGTTATTTCTGGTTGTTTTGTATCCTCTGCAATTTAATAGTCGTTCTGAAAATTTGAGAGATTACACTTGTGTGTAAATTTAAGATTGCGAAGTTAACTACTTTAAATCCAGAGAGAGCAAGCGCCTTGCTCTCCAATGTTTTTTCTTCACTGTTGTGGCAGGTCTAAAAGGAGAGGACAGTGCACTTTTTATAAACAGATTTTCTTAGGTTTCAGAGTGCATTCAGGAAGCCTCTTCTGACAATTTGGAAAGAAACTTTTAGCAAATTTGTGACCTCTAACTTGCTTTGACTCTATCTGTTCCGTCTTTATCTGTTTCTTATTATTTTTTTTTTTAGATGGTTTTCTTTTTTTTTTTTTTTTAACGTTTTTATTTATTTCTAGGAGAGAGAGAGACAGCGTGAGCAGGGGAGGGTCAGAGAGAGAGGGATTCACAGACTGAAACAGGCTCCAGGCTCTGAGCTGGCAGTCAGCACAGAGCCCGACGCGGGGCTCGAACCCACGAACCGCGAGATCATGACCGAAGCGAAAGTCGGACGCTTAACCGACTAAGCCACCCAGGCGCCCCCGTCTTTATGTTTCTTGGGGAATGTTTCATTTTGTCCTTGGCTTTAATACCATAACTTCATTACATTTCAGTTTGTAACAAACCAAAGGGCCCTAAATTAGTTTGGCCCCTAACCATTATATTATATCACCAATATTATAACCAATTATAACCAATATTATATCAGTAAAATATTTCCAACTTTTTGAAGATTTATTTCTCTGTACATACATACTAATATATGTTGTCAAAGGAGAGTTTGTCTTCTGGGCCAGTCTCATTTATGCCCCATCTCTAGAGATGTGAACAAATCATACTATTAAAATGGCCCCACCTCAGTAATTTATAAGCCACGTTAGTGGAGGTGGATGAAAGCATTGGCATGTGTTAAAGTGCCAGAGAAAAAGGAGTGAAGTCATGTAATACTGCATCCATAACCTGGTGGAGGACTTGAATAGTCAATAGGACCTTTCATCACAACCAGAAGCAGTAGTAAAATCACTTTTTTGGTAGAGGAAATGACAGAATTTAGCAATATTTGTTACTTCAGTATTTGGGATCAGTCCAGCCCGTTTTGAAAGCACAAGCTCAGAAAGACAGGCCTCCAAGTAGAAATTCTCAAGTGTTGTCTGAGTTGCTGAGAGGGTTGGTATGGCCTGCTTGCCCTCTTCCTGTCATTGCGGTCTGCAGGTGTGTGTGTGTGTGTGTTCTGGGCGGGGCTTTGAAAGTGAATAAAGCAAAATATCTTGCTTTTACTTCCATTTGGTAATATTTTTCACATGTCAGCCCCTTTGTCTGGAAATAGCTTCGTTTGTTGGTCAGCACATAACGCTATAGGAACAGGCCTGACAAAATTAAAGCACAGTATAATTATCATTAATTTAAGAAACCAGGTTCTGGGGCACCTGGGTGGCTCAGTCAGTTGAACGTCCAACTCTTGTTATCAACTCAGGTCATGATCCCAGGGTCATGGGATCAAGCCCTATGTTGCACTCCGTGCTGAGCATGGAGCCTGCTTAATGATTCTCTCTCTCTCCCTCTGCCCCTTTGCCCTGCTTGTTTGTGCTCACTCGCTCTCTCCCTCTCTCTCTCTCTCAAAATAATAAATAAATAAAATAAGATAAAATATAATAAAATACCAGGTTCTGCCACAATTGTCAGTAAGTTTATAAGTACGTTGTATTAGAATTTGTGTATAGCACAGTAGTTTTCTTTCAGTTTCCAGAGCATAAACAGTAGTAAATTAAAAAATTACAATGCTTTTGCCTTACATAATGGAGAGTTTTATAGTTTGAAACATATATATATATATTATATAATATATATATAGAGAGAGAGAGAAAGGGAGCTATATCTGTAGATATAGCTCTATCTCCATGTGACCCTCATTATCCCCCTACAAAGTGAAAAGGGCAGCTAATGTTAAATGAGTTTGAAGACCATATGGCTGTTGACATCTGTCACTCCAGTTCAGATCACATGTTCTGACTGCTGTATCAGCGATTCCCTTACTTCATTGTTCTGTGTACAGTTGACCTTTAAACAACGTAGATTTGAACCATGAGGGCCCACTTACATCTGGATTTTTTTTCAATACAGACAATACTATAAATGTATTTTCTCTTTCTTATGACTTAATAACATTTTTTTCTCTAGCTTACATTATTGTAAGCATACAGTATGTAATACATATATAGAATATGTGTTAATCAGCTGTTTATGTTATTGGTAAGCCTTCCAGTCAATAGTAGGCTATTAATAGTTAAGTTTTGGGCAATCTAAAGTTAGATGCAATTTTCAACTGTGTGGGCAATCGGCATCCCTGACCCCTGCCTTGTTCAATGGTCAACTGTATTTCTATCCTAAAAGTGCACACAGAATCAAAGAAGGTGACATCCTCAGATAGAAAAGAGACTGAATGTTCATGGAGCAGAGGCAACTATTTTGCACACTTTGATGTTTCTATTAGTAAGAACAACACTTGAAACACGGTAAAGCCTCAAAAGATGTTGAATGAATGAATGAATGAACGAATGAATGGTGATACAGCATCATCACACAGTTAAGAAACTGAAATCCGGAAAAATTGTGACTTGCTTAAGATTGATGAATTGATTCCACAAGTATTTGTCACACTTCTACTTGTATATTCTGAGTCTCAGCTGAGAGAGCAGTGCATAAGACATGCAAAATCCCTGCCTCATAAAAAAGCACAAAGGTTGTGCTTATGTGAATTATCTGGAATAGGCAAATGCATAGAGACCAGGAGCTGGAGAAAGGGGAGAATGGGAGTTATTACTCAGTGGTTACAGTTTCTATTTGGGGTGATGAAAAAATTTTGGAAGAAGATGGTGTTGGTAGTTATAGAACATTGTGAATGTTATAACGCCCCCACATTATATACCTAAAAGTGGTTAA